ATCAATAATTCATATAGTCAAAAATTCTTATGTTAAAATTCAGGTCTTTTTATATTATTGCCAAAAAATTTGACATATTTTGATAAGACAATTGTCAAAAAATTAACCTTCAAACTTTAAGTTTGCTCCGTAACAAAAAAGACCTTCCGAAATACAGTTTTTATCAATTTCACTATATATTTTATTAATTTTTAATATTTTTTATAATAAAATATATAGTGAAATTGAAGACCTGTAGGTCTATAATGTAGTGGTTAACACTCCATAGGTCAAATCACAAGATACCAATTCAACCCCATGTGAGAGCAGTTGAATAGAATTAATATGGTATCTGGCGCCATAACCTGTATAAGTGCTGTTTCTCATGAGAAGCCGTATTACACGCTGATCCAGCAGACGTTGAGATTGTGATTTCCAGAAAAGGTGTCATGGTGCAACGATCGTCTGGTTGGTGTTATGATGATCGCTAGAAGTTGTAAGGTGTATGAGATGTCTGCTTTTGGTAAAGATGGCTTGGTGATCGTTTTCCTGTAGTACCTGATGTCTCTTCCTGCAAGTTTCCAAAAAAGGCCTTATTCCAATCCAGTAATAGACCGCTCCAATAGTTATCTATCCTGAGAAGGCAGCCAAAACAGCAGTAAGTACCGATAGCTGAAACAATCTATGGGCTATAAGTCTGTGAGATAAGTTCCTTGAACGTTCTTGGGTAGCTCTAGGAAGGTGAAAATTAAATGGTGCGCCCATCTGCAAGTGGTCGGGTTTTAGAAGGATTCTCTCTGCAGTGGTTCTATTTGTCAAAGAATAGGTACTACCCCCAGTTTTCCATATTCAAACTTCCCCTTTAAAATTTATACAGTGCCAAATAGAACATAATGATATAATAACAACATTAACGGAGCTTTGGTACGTTAGCCTCAGCACAATCCTTCTGGGGTAAATGCTGATAGCAACAAGTCAATATAGGGTAGGTCCGATATAGCCTAGCGATATGTAGAATTATTTATAGATAGTAGTTCCTGTAATACATGAATTACATATGTGAATAAAATAATAAAATACGTTAGGCAAAGCCCAGCTGGTTGAACTTAAAAAAAAATATATATATTATAACAATATTTTCTTTAATATAAACTTTGCAAACCTTTATAAAATATTCTTAATTCTCTACTTCTTGTTTATTTTTTCAAAAAAACAAAAACAAAAAAGTTCTTTGGTTTTATTTATCCAAGCTTCAATAGCAATAAAAAGTTTTTTAAAAAAAAAGACAATTTATTTGATTTTTTTTTATTCTTTTATTATTGTAATATTAATATCTTTATAAAAAAAATTTCAAAAAATTATAATTTATATAATATATAGTATAAGAAAAGTAATTAATTTTAATTATATAATAAAATCTTTAAAACAAAAAAAAACTTGTTTTTAGAAAATAGATTAAAATCAAATTTTTATATTTTGTATATTATATATTATTTAAATTTATTATTATTATTATTAAATAGGATAAAATTAATAAAATATAATTGAAATTTTAAATTTAAATTTTTCGATTATTATATTTCTTGTCTTGTTATAAAATTTCTTTTATATATATATATATACAAAAGTAGTTAACAAGTTATTAAAAAGTTTAAATAAATAAAAAAAAATTCATTATGTCAAAATATTTGCTTTTATATTCTGTATATTTAGAACCTGGATTATGATAAAAACCATTTTTGAAAAAGTTATTAATATGTTGTTTTGATTTTATAATTTCAAAAAATAAACAAATAATAATAAATTACGTATTTTAAATTCTATATAACTGTCTATCGGTGATTGTATAAAAAAAAATTTTTTTTTTCTAATAATTTATTTATAATGTATATTATATACTGTATATTGTATATTTGTTCTTTATAAACTTTATAAATTGTTGGATTTTCTGTATATCAGGTTAGAAAGTATTTTCTTTATAATTGTTAGTCGATCGAACGTTTCACTTTGATAACTTAAAAAAAACCTTGACGAAGACCAATGCAATAGTATGCATCGTAATTGATTATTTCCACGCCCAAAATGTGTTCTTTTAATTTATTCATGGCACGCTTTCTTATTTAGTGGAAAGTATTGCATTAATAATCGCACGAATGAAGCAATATTAAAATTTAGAACTTTCTCGACCCATATCCTGCGTACGCTTATTCGAAAAATATAGATGTGTGCATTTAATCCTCCAATTATATGGAAGTAACTTGCGCCCGTGGGATTCCAGCCATCTGGTGTAACTATGCGGCCGACCACTTTATCTTTCTACTGACGAATCATCTGACACTATGGGGAATGTTCTACATTTCACAATATTCTACTGTTTACCATTCTTCTTATCTTCGTCCCATATACGCTATCTTGATACGTATCATTTCTTTTTTCACGATCTTGTCATCCCAAATAAAACCCAAAATAAGAGGTCTATCTATTGTTAGCCCTTCTGCAACGGCGTAAGAATATTTGAATATTAAATAATCAATAATTTTATTCTCCTCTTCAAAAAAAAAATATTTCTTCTCTCTTTGTAAGTGTATTCGTTTTTAATTGGTTGGTGTTACTGCGGCATGTTTATTACGTCACAGGAGATAGACACAAAGTTTTATTTATTAAATATTTGCTGATCATTTTCTTATTTGTGACCTCGAAATCAAAGATTGATTGGAAAAAGCGTTTTCGACGAATTATTTTGCATTAAAACTTTACATTATGTCTTTCCGCAATGAAACGGGAGCGAATTCACTTCCCCCTAGTTGCCTCAGAGAAATTATTAATATCTCAAAGGGTGATCTTAAGACCCTTCATTCTTGTATGTTCGTGAATCGACAATGGTGTGAAATTGCAGTCGAAATTTTTTGGAGAAATCTGTGGTCTTACCGTTATCACGTTGGATTTCTTGATGGTGCACATTACTTTTGGAAGGTTGTCCTCCGGACATTGATCTCCTGTCTTCCAAATGAATCCAAGGATTTTTTGAATGCCAACGGTGTCACAATACCATGGTCAAGCTACAACAGGTCACCGTTATATGACTATCCTAGTTATTGCAATTCATTGGATTGCTTCGCTGTATCAAACATGATCGAATCGGCTCTTTGGGAAGCCCTTCAGAATGATCGTCCTCGAAGATTCTTGTACATACAACATCTCATGGAGCAAGAGATTTGCAAACTGTTCATAAGTCGCTGCGGCACAATTTCCAATGTTACCTTAGATTACATACCAATCCCGTATTTTCCAGGTGCCGGTACCTGTTTTTCGCAATTATCAGTGCTCTACTGTCACACCGCGGTCCCGGAGATGCTGTTCTACGCGATGGCCCAAATCTGCAAAAGTATTCAAAAGATGTTCATCGAATTCTATGAGGATGATAACCTTGGTCTGTCAGCTTTGGTCGACGTGCAACAACATTTAAGTTACCTCAGATGTAAAGGCGATGAAATTGCAGACATTCAGAGTTTCCCTGCTATCATCGATGTAATAAGGACGAACTCATATTCATTCGTTCACCTAGACATTGTGCATTTCCTGTGTATTCAACCCGCAATAATTTCCACGATGTTGAATCTGAAAACATTGAAGATTCGACTTGACAAAATGCCTCATAGTGATGTTTGGGAGGAGCTCGCGTCTGTCCGATTGCCGAAGCTTGAGACCCTTCAAATTACGCTGGATTCGTTGCGGCTAGAATCACTACAACCATTAATAGCCAACAACAGTGGAATGCTTAGTACATTGATACTTGATTTCAAACCAAAAGTCAACAGATCAGCAACTTTCAATGAAACGATCGCGCAATTTTGTCCAAATCTAAAGTTTCTCGTTACGTGGTTTCTCAATGAAGAATTTGACGTTCTGGAAGAACTATTTTCCAAGTGTCAAAACTTGGAAAGATTAATGCTTCAAGGGACCAACGGTTCGACTTTGGATGGAGTACGATTATTCCGGTTGATGAGTCAAGTCACGACACTAAAACTGATGGCATTAGGCTTAAAGGGAGGTTGGAGTTTTTCCAAGGAGGGTTTAAAGACCTTCTTCGAAGGTTGGAAATCAAAGGGAAATGTGATCACCTTGTTTTTCGATGAAAAAGCGAGATTAAGAGCAGATTTCATCGAACTCATTGAAAAATATTTTAAAAAGGGAGTTGTGAAGAAATACAAAGTTGCACCATTTCGTTGGAATGAGTTCTGCTGAAACATCAATCTTATCATTACTAATCTTTTGGCATAAAAAAACAAGCAAACAAATTAAATCTAGAAACATGAATGTCAATAGGATGGCATTATCAAGAGTAGAAAAGCTTACGAGAAAAAATCCTGCATTTTTAATATTTAATAAAAGAATCGTGCACACGCACGTCGTGTCGTTTTTAAAATGTACCCCCAAAAACTGTCTTTTAGACTAGAGCAAAGAATTCGAAAATGAGATTTCGTTAAAATGAATAAAATTTTTCTTTGATGTGTTTTCGGTTCGGGATATCGATGTATTTTTTTTAAAATTACCATAAATTCCTAATAACAAAAAACATGATGGATAATTCGTGATTCTTACGATCAAAAAGGATAACAAGTACCCGGGATCCAATATTTATTGGTCGTTTAATTTTATTTATCTTTCTAAGGTAATATTTGAAAGTCCCTAATTACAGCTAAATGATGAAGAGAGATTATTTACAATCAATGCGAACATATCTTTTTGCCTTTAAAGATTTTACAGATTTTGTGTGATAATATGATTTTGAGTTCCGTTCATTTTTGTGGGTTGCAAGTTTACCATGTATTGCGTCCAATCATTAAGCTCGCTCCAGTCGATGGCTGAAGGAAGCGATAAAAATGGATTGCTATCACACATCGAATCATCCCCCCCAAACGGGTGAGATCCCGAAGAAAATGAATCGGCATTGGAGGGAAATAAACTCGAATTCAGGTTAAAATCATTAAATTGAGTGAACCCTGAAGAGGATACGGTTGATTCCGGCGAAGAAATCTGATCACCGTTCATCAAAGGTGATATGGGCGAATTCATCAAAGGACTGATACTATTGCGTGAAGAATTGCCAAACATATGTTGCTTTCTCATTGCTGCATTGTATTCACGGATTGACGAAGGTGTCACTCCGGTTTGAGAGGGCGGAGGTGAGGGAAGTGAATTTGATTGTGTAAAAGTGACACGTGGAATTTCCGGTGAACTATCGTGGTATACAAATGTGTTCTCAGCACCAGGCTCATTAGGTATTCGATTTGAGCTATCATCTTCGCCAATTGACCTTCTCTTCTTTGTCGATGACTTTTTTTCTTCGACCGGGTTAACATCGTGTACTCCGTTGGTACCGTCGAGATTGATATTCCTCGTTTTGATCAAGTCATTGAAGACATTTTGAACTTTCTCCGTCGCGAACCAATACGGTCGCAAAAACTCCAAACATTTCAGTGTCATCCTCAGGCCTTGTTTTGCAACTTCCCTAAATCTATCGTCGCCACTGAGAGCATTTATGATATGCATGGTGGAGGCGGTGAAGAATGAGTAGATCGAGAAATTCCACGTGTACTTCAAGGTTCCATCTTTCATTGAACGAAATATGATGTGGGTGATGTTGTTGGCAGCCATTGTACATATCGTGAGAGACGGAATGGATGATGGTGGTGCGTTTGATTTTGGTCCACGAATGTGAGGACGATGTAAAAGAATTTGACTTGAATAGTATACGAGATGGATAAACATTCGTCTCTTTTCTGCAGCACCCACGAAAGAGGTCGTTTTCGAATCAAATTTAAGTTCGACCGGAAGGTTTTCGTGCCATTCATTCAATTCCGCGTCCAAATCTGCCAACACCGAATCATAGTTGCCATTTATGGTTCGCTTGGCCTTGATGCCATAAATATGTGAAAGTACCTTTCCAAGAATCGCAATGATTTTAATAGACTGGATGAAACCTTCGACGGAATGAGCCGGATCGTCAGCTATTATGCCGACGACGGGAAGACCTACATCACAATCAGCGTCATTGATGGCAAGTGGCTGTAAAAGAACAATAAAAATTTGAATAGGTGAGTGAGTGTTTTGGTGAAGAGAGTCGCCACCGAAGTGAAGACCACACATACCCTCCCCAAAGCGGCGCTGATGAGACGATCCCCCAGAAAGCAAGCCCACCATATCCGTTTACGAATTTCCGATTGCCTTTCATCAAGATTCCATTTTGACGAATCACGATGCAACCCCATGTCTTGAGCGAGACGAATAGCCAAGCCGATGTACAACCACATGGTTGAATTTTTTGCACCTTGTTGATGCCCGGCCAACAGTATAAGCGCTTGAATAGTGGTCAGGGTCGCATTATCAAACTCGTCCTTGAGCAATTCCTTGGCCCGATTAAAGTACTCATCGCCTTATGGGATAAACGAACAGAATAGATGTGTTAGGTTGGATACAACGGGACAGGAGAACGAACAAGAAAGAAATTCGCTTTGATGAATTACCTGCAGTGGAAGGAACCTCGGGGTTCGCGCGTACAGCCGGATCGTCAAGATACTTTGCGGCAATGGCAAACATAGCATAGAGAAGTATGATGTAGGAATAATTTGCCTCTAGACTATTATATTTTTCCATAAAGTCTTGTTTGTCGATAAATATCATGTACGGATGAACTTGAGTCCAAAAAGTATCCAGCAATTGATCGCACAACTCTTTTGGAGGAAGTTCCAGTGTCATGTCAATCCTTCTTTTTGATGGAGAATGCCATTCTCCACAGGGAACATTTATCACATGATCATTGTTACTCTTTTTAGTATACTTCAACACGAATATTCCAGAACTATTTCCTAAGTACCGAGTGTGACCTCCCTCATCGATTGCAAGTTGGCCCATGCTATCGTTCAAATCATATTGAGAACCGCCATAATCGTTACTGTCAGTGGATAAATCTTCATCGGTGTCACTATTACCGTAGGAGGCTTTATGTGACTTCAACAAACTTTTGGACGAAGAAGAATGAGTTTTTTGCGATGAGGTAGAACGACCGGACGAATCGTGAGAGTCTGACTTTCTCAAGGGGTTATTTCTATCAGGGGAATTGTTAGAAGGCTTGAAATTACTTTCGTTGACATTGATCCATTCGAGATTTGAATTGATTGTTCCCTCGGGCAAATCTCCTGATTGCACCAATCCACCAAGAATAGATTCCATACGTTGGAGTCTTGTCTCCAAGGCTTCGATGTAGCCCTTTGGCGGACCTCTCTTCTTGGGCGCATCGATAAACGAACTAGAAGATTTCAGGAAAAAGGTTCAACCTAATTATTTTGGACAGTGACATGGATGATGAGAACATACCATTCGTAACCATAGGCTTTACAATTTGTACAAGACGGTGGATCGGAACCAGGTTGAACGCCATCACAACGAACTTTTTTTCTTCTACACGTATCACAGGCTCTTGCTACCCTACGTCGTTTAGCATTACTTAAGTCTTCACTCGACATGATCTATATCTAATGTTTATGTCTAGTATTAATGGATTGTATATAGAGATGGGTTGATAATTTATGAAGAATTTTGAAAAAAAAATTTTAAATCGATGGATTCTTAATTAAATTTTGTTGCAAGTTTTATTAGGATATTTTTTGTTAAAGTAGTGTTCATTTATTGGAAAGAAAGAAAGCGAGATAACGAACAAACTGCCGCCCTGTTAAAAAGAAAAATAAATAATCATGTACTGTACACACTGTATATATATTTGTGCTAGATTAGTTCAGTGCGTATATAACGTAACGTTGTCGATTTTTTTGAATTATGCCTAAATAAATAAGAGACTACAGGGAACAGTTGTACGTGCAAAGCTCGAAAACAAAAAAAAAAAATCGAATAAAAAAAAAACATATATTAAATTATTATTATTATTAGGAGGAGGTAGTTTATATACTTTTTTAAATTCATACAGCATGATGTGGATCCTCCCCCCAAAACCATCATCATCTTAAACCATTTATGTTCCGTGCTTTGATAAATTTGTGTAAAGAAAGAACTGGGTAAGGTAATCAATCTACTGCTTTCAAAAAATTGCCTGTTTCGGTTCCGGTATTAACTTGTTGGAAAAAAAAGAAGAGGGAAGGAATTGACTAGAATTAACCACGCAACCTGTTATCGTTTGTTAACAATCACATCCATTTGCCATCGCACGCACACGCATCTGATCTCTCTATTTCGATATAGGTGTCAAAATTTCTTCTTTAGGGATAGTGCAATCTCCCTTTTGTTCCCACCGGCAAAATTTTGGCCCTTTCTAATGAAATCCGTGCATAACAATAAATAATTCGTGACCCGAATGAATGAATTAGTTTTGTCAAATATGCATGCTCATCTTAGGTTAACTAATAAAATTACGAATAATATATTATTATTGTTCGGAGACGATTCATGATGTAAAGGTTCACAAGAAAACGAATTGAGCATATCCACGTGGTTTCGACCGCACTCGTTAATTTCAAGTTTTCCGGGTAACCAATCGACGGAAATTTTGCCATTAGCGAGCTCAGGGACAGTGCGAAAAATGGAAATCAAACATCAACAAACGATGCATTGCCAAAATTTCGTGTCACAACGGAAGTCGTCCGCGCATAATTTGAGTACAATTTTCAATTTTGGTTAAGACCGATGACATTTTAAATAAAATCAGGAAACAGCAAAATTATCATTTTAGGCAACTATTCCTTTTACTATGTTAATCGAATCTGTGTGGCGATCTAAAAATATCTAAGTTTTTACCACTAGGAATTTTCGAAACATGATTTTTTTTTTTTTAATGATGATGAGCGGGGTGAGTAACTTTTATTATTATCCATTTTCATTACCATTATATTTTTTAGCAAAGAAAGCAGAACTGTGTTTGTTAGATCACTGCACGCATATCAAAGTTAATT